ACTAGGTGAAAGTGGTTACAATTGGATTGTATGATGCCAGTTTCAGTTTTGTAAAAATCATATTTATATGTAGTTATGTATTTAGCAATATTTATTTTGCAGTTTTATTATGTGCATTTACACATAAAGTATGGCAATATAACCTGTTCAAGGCTACATGCCCAAACCTAATGTTGCTATATGGGATTCTTTTTCAGTTTTGCTTAGTTGATTTTCAAATTCCTTCCCAATGAACTTGGGTTATAAAGAAATAATAAACGTGCAAAATGTTTGCAACACAGGAACTGGCATACAGCTGTCTGCCTAGTTCCAGGAGGCACTTAGCTGGTGCCAAGTTCACCTGCAGGCTGTTTGGAGAGCTGGGTGTGGTGGCATATTTTGGAGGTTGAGGCAAGAGGATCACAAGCTCACGGTCATCCTGGGCTACATAGTTCAAGCCCAGACTGTATGACATAGCAAGACCCCCTATCTCAAAAAAACAAAAACAAAAAAAGAAAATAAAGGGCTGGGGAGATGGCTCAGTAGAGTACTTTCCTGGCAAGTGCAAGGGTCTGAGTTCAATCCCTTGTTACACCAACAAAAAAAAAAAAAAAAAAGGAAAAAGAAAAATAAAGGTTGTTTGTAGAACCAGGACACACATAAAGAACCAGGGAGTTCTGAGAGATTTGAAGGCTCAGGGCAAGCCAAGAATCCCCATAATCCCCTGTGTAAGCTGTCTCTCTCCCTTAGTGAGCACAGCCAGGTGCCTGTTCTTAGGTCCTTCCTCCTAGTTTACCACCCCATGCCCTCCCATTCCTATTAGCTCCTCAGACAGGCCACACTCCAGTCAGCAGTCATTTTTCCCTGTTTATTCCTGAGATGACAGTCTGGACACTTTGTGTGGGTGTAGGAGAGGGCCATGAGTCCAGGGACTTTTAAACTCAGCTGCATCTCTAGTCAGTTTTTTTTTTTTTTTTTTTTTTTTTTTTTTTAGTACAGGGACTGTAGGGTCTCACTACACAGATCAGACTCATAATGATCCTCCTGTTTTCAGCCTCTCAAATGCTGGGATTACAGGTATGTGCCACCATGCCCAGTCTCATTTGCTGTCTCAGTGTGTCTCTGCGTCTGCTTAAGCAGTTGCTTTACCTGCTGAGCTATCTGGCCAGCCTATTTTTTTTAAATTTATTTATTTGGTACTGGGAATCAAACTTAGGACATTGTACTTGTGCCTTGGAGCTATATCCCTGCCCCTCCCCCTTTGGTCTCTTTGAGACAGGGTTTCACTACTGTAGTAGTATACTCCCCATTGCTGGGATTAGAGGTATGTGCCACCACACCCGGCTTGCTTTCTTTTTCTTTTCCTGAGACAGTATCTAAATGGCCCAGGTTGGCCTTCAACTTTCCTTCCTCCTGCCTCAGCCTCCCAGACTGCCCTAACACCATGCCCCTCCCAGGTTCTACAGTCTGGCCTTCCTGAAGGAACACTTCCTCCCCAGCTGGCTCGTTGTGTTTCTGGCCTGGTGAGTCACTCTGGCTTCTACCCATATCCCGTTTCCAGGTGACACTCCCTTATTATAATCACAGTGAAGAAAACTGACCAGACATTAGCACTCATGCACCAGACACTGCTAGGCACAGGCTCGTCAAAGCCCCATGGCAACTCTGAGAAACAAGTACTGATATCTGCATTTTGCAGCTGAGGAAATGGAGATTTGGTGAGGTCCACTTCCCTAAAGACAGTAGGAGAAGTTGGCTTGGGCACTTAAACTGCCGTCTTTGCAGCCACTGGGTCCTCTGACCCCATTTTATCCAAATGAAGAGACTGAGTCTTATTTGCTGAGACAAACTTATTCACCCACATTCCAAGTCAGGAGACATGAGAGGCAAATGTGTGAACATCTCCAACACCCTTCCCAGCTCTATTTGGGCCTGGACACCAGCCTGCAACGCCACTTAAACAAGTACTTGTCCTCAGGACACTTCAAGAACCTGTGAGAATGTCCCCTGACCAGGGCCCTGTTCTACTATTGTAGATGTAGCCTCCTCCAGGAAGCCTTTCCGGGAACATCCTAGTCCAAGTACCTACTACAACTGCCTGTCTTTTTGCTTCTTTCCCCTCAGTTCTCACAGAGCAAAGGTCAGGTTCCGGGACTCAGCTCAACACCGGTGCATGGAGGTAATGGGCACAGAACATACTTAAGAGTTTGCCGAATGCTTGACTCTCAGAGATGTGGTTGGCTTTGTCCTGGGGTACGGTGTGTGACAGGACCTACAGGTAGTGACAGAAATGTGGCTTCCTGCATGTCCCATTAAGAGGGCATGTTGAGCCAAGGCTCTGGGCCATCAAGGCTCAGTGCGCTGGTGACACAATCATGGTGTCCTTCTTGCTGAAGCAAACTCCCACTTCTGTTTTCTCACTCGAGTCAGAAATTAATCATGTCTGAGTGACTGAAGTCATTGCTCACAGCACCGGGAGCCGGTGCAGGGTGGGGCGAGGGGCAGTGGCCTTGGGGCTGAAGTCTCCGAGGCCTGGGCCTCCCTGCTGGGGGAGGGGCGAGGCGTGGCAGGTCCTGTCCCGGGGATGCGGCAGTCGCGGGGGGAGGGGGTAGACAATGGGGCTCCGCATCTGCTCCTTGCGGGGAGAGGGGACCCTCCAGTGAAGAGCCTGGGAGAGCAGGGAAATGTGGGAGGAATTGATGAGGAGAGGGCGGAGCCAAGGAGATGCCGCCGGGAGGAAGGAAGGGAAGGGGAAGGAAGAGAGGAGGGAGGGGAGAGGATCAGGCTTTCCTCCTCCTCCTCCTTCTCTTCTTCGGTGACCTGATCTAGCGCCGGCCCGGTTCGCATTGTTCCCAGCGGAAACTCTAGGGGAGGGGGTCACCAGGACCTCGCGCCTCCTCTCCTGCCCCCCAAGCTGCAGCCTCAGGCTCTGGCCCAGGCATCCAGCAGGTGCTCAATCCTTACTTGGGAAAATGAGAAATGTGACCAACTTTGCTCTGGGAACTTTTCCCCTGCCTTCTCCCCATTCCTGCGGAGAAGCTGGGCAAGGAGCAGGGCTTGGGAGCACGCCCGGACGCCCCAGGAATAACTGACCCTTCGCGGTTCTTCGGGAGCGGTCTCGCGTCCGAGTTAACAGCGCTGGGAGTCCTGGGGGTCGGAGGCCGGGTGTCGGGCCCACCCCTGAGATGGGGGCACCCCTGTGGGGACCTACGCCGGCCACAACACGGCGAGTCTCCACCTCCAGAGTAGCATGGGGCTGGGCTTGGGGATCCGTGGGGGGCCACCCCGAGCCCCTCCCCGCCCGCTCCAGCCCGGGCGCTGCCAACAGCTGTCCACGGCTCCGTAGGGACGGTGGCTCTGAGCCCATCTGCCTACTTCTCTAGAACAGAGAAGTGCGGCGCACACCCAGCCGCCACCTCTGGCCCGGGCGGGGGCGACCTCGGACCCCCGCCTGCACCCCGCAGGAGTCAGGCACCCCGGGGCCCTACCCGCGCCCCAACCCCCAGACTCCCCTTTGGGAGCTGCCCTGGCTTCCTGGGGGCGGGGTCCCCGCGCCCCCTTTGTGCCGGGCAGGCCGGGGGTCCCCCCTTTTCCATGCGAGGTCCTGACGCTCCCTTATCCCCAGCTTGTTAATCTTTGTTCCCCTTTTCTGCTGAGAGAGAAAAATAATAAATAAAGGGGGGGGGGAGAAAAGAAGGAAAAAAGGCGTGACTTGATTTTCAAACGAAACTCCCACTGCAAACAAAACCCTTTTGGAGAAATAAGAAAGGAGGAAGAAGGAAGAAAAGGAAGGACGACAGAGAGAGAGAGAGAGAGAGAGAGAGAGAGAGAGAGAGAGAGAGAGAGGAGGGAGGGAGTGGGGGAAGAGAGAGAGGTTTCCAGGCTTTCAATTCGAGTAGGAGAGTTGAACCGAGAGCAAGAGAAAGAAAGGAAGAAAAAAATCCTCTCTGCGGTAGAAAGAGAAAAGAAACTTGGGCTGACAAGCGGGGGGTGTCGGGGGGTGGAAGGAAGTGAGAAAACAAAAGAGAGATAAAAGGGCCGCTTTTCTGCCTCTCTTCCTCCGCGAGCCGGTTAGGAGGAGCTGTTTTGCATCCCTTCACGTCAGCCCTGCCTCATTCCCTTCTTCCAGGGAGGGAGAGCGCGAGCGAGGAGCGAGCGGGGGGAGACGAGCGGGAGCGCGGGCGCGGAGCGAGCGAGGAGAAAGCGGCCGAAGGGAGCGGCGAGGCGGCGCGTGGAGGCGGCGCGGCGCGGTGG